AACAAATTAATGAATAAATAAATATTTTCTTCAAATGGATAGGTTAAATGATTTGGAAATGAATAATAAACTAGTTGGTATTGGTATTTTGTCTTGAGCAAGTTACATAAACGTCCCGAAATGTGTAAATAATCGACTTCATCAATAAAAAATAAATTAATTTATAAGTGATTATAAGTATTCCGAGTGAATTTATTACACATCATTGAAAACGAACGAACGAACACGTTAACTCGGAGTATTTTCTAAAAGCAAATTTACAAAAATCAATAATTTTTATAATTGAACCAGTTTCCGAAGAACTTTATTAGTATGTTCATTAAGACCAAGTACTCTATAGTTATATCAAGTAAATCGTCTGATTTTAATTTTTACAAATGTCAAAAAAACTACTTATTTTATCAAACTTTGATGATTTTTTTTAATTAAACTACTTGTTGTAAGTCCCTAATATTTCAGTAAGTTCTAAAAGACCATGATATACATCGCCAAAAAAAGTTCCATAAAAATTGACTAAAATTTTTTTTTCAGCAGTTAATTACACAAAAACGGCTTGCTGTATTTTCATTTAAAACTAATCAGTATCATTTCCAACTAATATCTTTCGAACAATTTTTGATTTTTTAAAATCGATTCGGTAGTATGAGCTTAAATGTGAACACTTTTTTTACTGAATTACAAAAAAACGGCTCGGCAGATCGTCTCACAAAACAGAAAAACGATAGTCCTCATTGAGATACACCAAATGGCTTTTAAATTTCTGAAATCGGTTCAGGCGTTTTTGAGAAAACGTCGATCAAAGGCCTAATTTTGACAAATGCCAAAAAAACGATACTAATTTTTGCAAACTTTGATAACTGGCGATTTGGTGACATACCAATGATTCTGACTGGTCTTCCGTTTGACTTCAAACGATTGCAATTTTCAGTTTGCCTTGCGTTCGCAATAACAAGTCGCAAGGCCAATTGCTTAGTGTTTGCGGGATAAATTTCAAATAGATTATTTAGAAAATCATTGTTTTTCACATGGGCAGTTATACGTTGCCTGTTCATGCGCTTTGTTAGTGTTAACGTCAGACCAAAAAATAAAAAATATGGTTCACCAAAGAGCACTTCAATGAAACGGATTATTTTCGGATTCACTTTCATTTACTTAGAGAAGTTCAACTAAAAAACACTCGATTTTTGTAATCGAAATAAATTCATTACTGTTGTATAATAAAATCACATTTTTCTTTTTCAAATATAAAACAAACAAAAAAGTTCTTCATCTTTCTCACGGAACCATCTGGTGGCGAAACGGAGTTCGTTGGGTTTGCTAGTATATTTATAATAGCATTAAAATATTTATAATATTTGAAATCAATAATGTAATTGAAGTCATACTTCAAGTACGACATGATCGGTTTGTCATTGTAATTAGAATTTAGGACTTGAACCTTCAACTCGACGTAACGCTTTTCCGTTGCATTTGCACAGATTTACTCCCTAGTCGCGCCTAAAGAAGTTTTATTTCAAAAATAATATCAGGATACTACTATATTTTTAACTGTACAGCTGAATGCACATCTGAATGGACTCGCAAAACTGACTGTTTTTAGAGTGGAAACTTTTCTAGGAATTACTTCTTCAAAATAGAAGCTTAGAGTGAAAAACGTTTTGAGCAGTATAAATGTCAGTGTTGGCATAAGAGCTTTCTGCAGTTTCAATCTTTGTCATCGGGGGCTTATTTAAATAAACTACTATTCCTTTTGGCTCACGAATCGCCATTTGTATTAGAAAATTCGGTTGTGAAATTAAAATACAAGAAAAATTTTGATTGTATATATCTTACCGAATATACCAAATGTGAAAAATATTCAAAATTTCAAAATTATCAAACATGTTAAAAAATGAGTGCGCGTAAGGTTCACACGCGATTGAAGTAAAACTTATTTACTACTGTACAAGATCGCATTTAGGTAAAAATAAATACATCATAAAATAATTTTGTATAATGCTAATTGTAATATGGTAACACTCGTGATGCACATATTTATTAGTGTCGACCATTATATACATTTATATAATAATACATTATAAACTATATATTTATAATAGCATTGAAAATATGTATAATATTTACCAACAATAATGTAATCAAAGCCATTCTTGAAATATGACATGAACGGTTTGTCATTGAAATGAGCATTCAGAAACAAACCTTCATTAGAGAAATAAAGTAATTGCTGATTAATAAATTTTATAATATTCGTTCACACAGTGGACTATGTTAAACAACGCCTAAACAAATATTGTTTATGCAAATTCACTCATCTTGTAATAATTGCGTTTGAAGAACTTCATGTAATTAAAATTAACATACATTCATTGACTGTTTGTATTTTTTTTACTTTTTCACTGGCGATATAATCTCATTCTTTGAACAGCTGTAATATCTGTCTTGCCTACAAAATTGAAGTCATACTTTTATATTTGTTTTATTTATTAAGCCCTGCACTTACCTTGATATATGTGAACGTTAATGCAATGATCATCATCAATATTACGAGGTAATAAATTAACCATATTATTAATGTCAACGAGCACATTTATAATTTGGCCAAATATTCCAAATTGTCCATTTGCATGTCGCAATCGTCTAATTTGCATGAAACACAACCTAGTAGAAATTAACCTTTCAGATACAGTATCTAGTTTAGGTAGATAATTTGGTATAGGTGGAAATACAAACCCGTTAAATTTACACAGAGTGGGAATTTTACCCGAATTTAATGCCTTTCGACAAGTTTGACATCCAACCTGATTATTTGAATCAATATTCAGAAAACCATTAATAAGAATTTGTTTTTGAGCTTCATTTAATATTTTTAAGTCACTTTGAAACCAAAGTCGAACACACACAAAACATACTCGTACATAGCCAAAGGTATCATTTGTAAATTGTATTTCAAACAATTTTCGTGCATTCCTAAACAATTCGAAACTTTATATGGAAATTCAAATACTTCATTTGACTCTTGCAAAAGATCAGTTTTTTTTCTATCACATTATTAGTCACATTATATGCAGAATCATTAATAAGCAATTGACGTGATGTAGTTGCTGTATCAGAAAAAGTTACAGCAGTACTTTCATTTAAAAACATAACAGAATAATATGTTTAAATGTGAATAGTTGTAGCGTTTTTCAGGAGTCGAATAGCGAAAAAACGATTCTTACTTATGTTAATGGTGTTGAAATTAACATCTAAATAAATACCTGGCTTAAGATTGGCAGTAACCGATTATTTTTCTGCAGTTGTTTTCTTTGACGATGTAATCTTGATCTTTCAGAGTTTGTTAGAGGCTTTGAATCTGCATCAATATTTAAAATTACTATTATAATAAATTAAAACTAGTCTTCATAGCCATTATATAAAAGAAACATGTGAACTTCCTTTAAATTTTCAATAAAGAAATATTGTTTTCACCATTTCACTTATCATGTAATTGTGTTTGTAAAAATTCATGTAATTTAAATTAACATACGTTTATTGACAGCTTGTTTATTTTGACTATTTCGCTGGCGAAACAGTTTCATTTTTTGAGCAACTGTAGTATCTGTCTGTCTATGAAAATATTTTTCATTCAATGATAACCTCAAAGGTATATAGTCACCTCGAAAAACTCGAATGATACAAATTACTTCAATAAACTTACATTTCTTACGCAGCGCAGATTTTTTATTTGTTTTATTATTTGCGATTATTTGCACTACAATTATTTATGGGGGATGGGATAAAATATTTTTCCGATCCTGACATTTTCATTAACTCACGATTTATACTACTATTTAACCTTAAAATGTTTTGACATAGCACCGGAAATTTGAACAATATGCTTTATGCTTTTGGTGATGTACGCATGTATAAAGCACGCTTTCGGTGACGTTCGCACGTACAAAGTCACGCATACAAAGAAGCCTCGCACAAATACGACCAATCAGAATCGACCCGTATAGAAATCATATTATCTAAAGCGAATGACTCTCACTTCAGCTTGGCGTAACAATTTCCGTTGCATGTCGCGCCTAACGAAGTTTTACTTCAAAAATGAAGTAATTGCTGATTAATGAATTTTATAATATTCGTTCACACAGTGGATTGTGTTAAACAACGCTTAAACAAATATTGTTTTCAAAACTTCACTCATCATGTAATAATTGTGTTTGAAGAACTTCATGTAATTAAAATTAATATACATTCATTGACTATTTGTATTTTTTTACTTTTTTGCTGGCGATATAATCTCATTCTTTGAACAGTTGTCATTCTTTGAATATCGGTCTTGCCTAAAAAATTTTTTCCATTTTAATAACTTCAAAGATTTATAAAAACTACTATATATTATATAATATAGAAATAATTTTTAATCAATAAACTTGCATTTAGTACACGGCACAAATGTTTAATTTGTTTTAATATTTTCAAGAAATGGGGTAGAATATTCTTCTGATTCTTGAATTTTTCATTAAATCAAGATTTGTACTGCGATGTAACTTAAAAATGTTTATTTATCTAGGCCGATTTCCTTGTTGATATCGGTACGCATACAACGACAGATCTCTATTCACATACACGACGACTAATCACAATCGACCCGTATTGAAATTCGTCGAGAGCGAATGACGTACAGTTTGGGCGTAACGCTATTTCCGTTGCATTTATACGGATTTACACCCTAGTCGCGCCTAAAGAAGTTTTACTTAAAAAAAATCACTGTATGAGAAGTTCAAGCAATTCGTCTTACGGCACGATGCCATGCACCACTGGTTTGAAATTATATTATAAATCATGTTATTCGTTTATAGAAAAGTTATGTTTCGCCAATTCTTGATATTACTATTTGGCAAACATTTATGATTAATAATCTACATGACACTATATTATTTGTTGTATAATTGATATGCATATTAATTACAAATTTCTGTTATGCTTACAGGTTTCACAATGAGGAACAAAATCAATAATGAATTTAATATTGTCCAAATAACGCCAGCGGTCTGACTGGCAGTTAGATTATGGATAATTCAAGTTTCAATCAAAATATCTCTGATGCGTTAAATGATGATTTTTCATCTGATATTGAGGTAATTGAACAAATATCAATTATATATATATATATATATTATAGAATTTTGTGATATGAGTGAAACGATTAAATGTAAAAAAGAACAATACAACACTCAGATTTTTAACACACATGTTATTTGGTAATTACAGACGTTTCGAGACCACGACAGTATGCCTCATCTTCAGTATAATTTTAAAACAGTTACTTATATACTACACATTCTTTAATATTATATTTAAATTACATTTAATTTTTGAAAATACAAAAAACACCAACTATTTCTTGCAGAGCTTGATATAGAACTAAAACATGTGAAACATACAGCAATATTTCAAACAAATTTTAAGTATCGTGATTAAGAGACAGGATGGGTATTATTATAATGTTAACAAAATAATAAAATAATATATAGAAATATATATATATATATATATATATACTAGATGACCAGACAGACGTTGTCCTGTACCCACATCTACCTTTTTTTAATATCCTATACTAATATTTACCGTTCAGTTAAAAATATTAATTATTGTTTTTCGAATTACTATTTACACCAATATATGAATGATGTTAAATGTAGAACTGCTTCAAATAAAATGATTCTTAATTCTCACAGTTAACACTTTATTTATCCCTTTAACACATATTAAAATATGTTCAATAAAATTGTATATTAAAAATTATACACTGCAATTTATAGAACAAATTTATTTCCAACAGCTCAATTTATTTTAATGCCAAGGGTTATCCAATATTTTTAGTCATACTTGTAGATGTGGATGTATAAATGAATTTTTGTTTATTCACATCGCCTGCTTTTGTGATTCATAGCATAAGATTATACGTATAGGAAATTGAAGTCTTTTAAAAGATATAACAAATTCAGAAAGAATTAATATATAGCATTCGCGGTAAAGGTACATCACTTTGATTTTCTACCCAAAATAATTGCCTCAATAATGTTGCCTATAATTTTTATGATTTCGTACCATATTTTAACTGGCTTTTAGTAATTTCAATATCTAAATTACATTTTTCTCACTAATAATTCAATATACATTATTACTTAAGTTTATATTTAAAATGAATTAATTAATTTGTCAAATTCTGTTCTACTATACTATACGCATCTTTTATTCTGTCAGAGATATAATAATGAGAAATTGGTTGTGTTTTTTTTTTTAAATACATTTTTTATCATGAAATCATGAGCTTCTTGAAAATCGTTTGTACTAAAGTTGTGGTATTTTTTAGAATCCATCAAGATTTCTTAAACCAAGTTAATTCTAGATGGAATACGATTATTTTTAATTTTGGTGGAAATGGCACTCATAAACTATTTGATTCAAATAAAAATAAAAACCATTGTATGCGTCTTTTATTTGCATGTTAGCTTACTCATTTTACACGCAGAAGTAATCATTTTAAAGCTTATTTTGAGCACTATAAAACCTCATTTTCATATCTAGCTTAATATTGTTCCTAGAACACTATAAAACAGCGATTTATTAAGATTTTAATCTATATAATTTTGTTCATTTCATTATTTTCGTTAAAATGTATATTTCTGAAGATATTAGCAAACAACGCTTTTAATTTTTCTTTAACGTTTAGTTAAAAAACAATAATCTGTCAAAATGAATTTTGATATAGGGTATGTAATTACATTGAACAGACATTTCACAACCGTGAGACGCACCTGTCAGACGCATGTTGACTCTATTTTATTAATTTTAGCTGCTTTTTAGCAATAATAATGTAGACATTACATTTTCCTTATTTATAATCATGAATTTATCATATTTTAATTTTGCCTTAGCCTATAAGTGAATAGAAATGTTTGGCGAATGACAGTCTTCATTTGTTATTAATGTCAAACTATGCCTCAAACATTTTCAAGGTCAAACAATTAAAAGCGTTTTATGTATTTTTTTCTATTTATTTCTACAATCTAACTATATTTCTATGAATCAAAAAATCCTAGAAAATTTCTCGAACAAACTTTAGGAAGATTTATGAAAATCCGAGTAATAATTTAGAAGGATTAATCTTTCATACCCCATTACAGAAGAATTTTATATATAAGATATGAAATAAAAAATGTACATTAAATTAAAAACCATTATTACGTTTCTTGTTATCGATTCCTGCAAATGAAATATTCCTGAAATAAAAAATTAAAAAAGGGAATCATTTTATTTTTAACTGTTGTTTTTAAACGAACGTTCCTTTAATTACAGATTCCAAATGCCAATTGTAATCAGGTGTAGCATTTGACAGTTGTCAAAGAACGAACACGTCTGATAAAATCTATTAATGGGTTTTCGTTAAAAATAAGTTTCTAAAATAGTTCTATTTATTGGCGACTACAAAATTGACAGCATTATGATACCATATTTCTATTATTATGACAGGTTTGTTTTTTATATTATCTCCCCTGGGAAAACATTATTTCATATTTTCATTTCGTTAATTTACATTTACATTTTTAACGTCATCAGTTTGATGCTTTGCTATAAATAGTAAATTGTATAAAAATTATGAAAATTCATTTTTAACTTCTCGAACAAAAAATGTATGTTTACGACTTGCTAATTGTGTGTTTCTTTACAATTTACAAGTTATAAGTCATTCTGGATCGCTTGAGATCAAATTTGAAAAAAGTATATGTGAGTATGTGTATAAGCGAGCTGATTTTTTATGTTTTCTAGCTTAAAATATACTTACTTATAAATACGGGATCTTCAATAAGAGCATAGATTCATAGTAATTAATCATTTCTAATTGCACCAAAGCTATAGGCATACATACTAGAGTGAGAGTTTTTATTTGTTTTCAATGCCAAACAATGTCCCAAATATTTTTACAAAATATTGTAAGAGTCATTGATTTAAGTTTTAGTTTAAGCTGCCACTCATTAGTATGTCTACAATAAAATCTTGATGGATTTTATAATTAAAACACTAACAGCTTGTAATTTCCTAACTATTAGCAAAGTTTCCGAATACTTTAGGAAGTATATGTATTGACTACTGCCGGCCAGTTTCTACATTTTGTAATTCAACATTTATACACATTTCATCACATTTATACATATAACTAAATAGCAAATTGCTGGAACTTCCCGTACCGAAAACTAAAATAATAAACAAGACATTGCAAAACTTTGCATAAATTAGATTTTTGAGAAATTTTCAAATTTTTAAAAAAATGTGACTTTTTTGAAAAATTTGATTTTCTTTATATTTTGATTTTTTTGTATTTTGTATTTTTTTTCAAATTTGCAACGTTTTTTTAGGCGTATACGCAATAATTGATAAATTATTCATCAATAATATATCAATAAAAGTTACTTTTTTACAATATATACTATTATAAATAGAGTTTGTGTTTTGTATGGCAGCTTTAGCGTTATTATTTTTTGTCTCTTATAATAAAAGTTCATAATCAAACCAGTTTAGTTTATTAATGAACTAGTTGGATTTGAATTAATATTTTTGTTATAATTATGTCATAAATTTAATTTTTCAAGAAATAAATAATATAATTTCAATTCAATCACAAACACTAAGTATAAGTATAAGTATAAGGCAAATTGCATGAATTAAATATTGAGATTTATCTATATATTTAAAAAATATCAAATAATTTTAAAATTGATGAAATTTAGAAAATATAGTTATAGCTTTCACTAAAAATAAATCACTGCGATTTTCAATTGATATCTCTCAAACACATTCACATATCACATTCACAATATTAGCTATAACACTTGTTTGTATATCCTAAAAGCGTGGCTCATCATTCTAAACTTCGAAGAATTGTTATATATTTTGTAGGACTATAATATTTCAGAATATTTGTTACTTGAGATAACAAATTTTGTTCTCTATCGCTTCTGTAAGTTTCATTAAAAACGCAAAAATATTTTTGTAGCATTTAATTTTGAAGAAACCCATCTTATCAGCACACTTTATATCTTTGGGACAGTTTCAAAATTTTTGAAACCTGTTTAGAGTTTTTTAGGAAAATTTTGCACTTTTCTGCTCATTTTTAAGAAACGGCTTGGCAAACCTTCTTGCAAAACTGACCAACACGAGTCTACTTTTAGAGTTTCATCGAAAGGCTTTGAATATTTGGAAATCGGTACATATACACACACTTTAGCCAAAATCGGTTTCGAACGGTTCAGAAAGACTCGAAACGTCGAGAAAATTAACAATTCGGATTTTTTTTCGTAAAAATATAAGCTACTCTTTCGGGAAGCACGTATCTCAACTTTATATCTTTGGGTCAGTTTTCAAATTTTTGAAACCTGTTTAGAGTTTTTTAGGAATATTTTAAACTTTTTTGCTCATTTTTAAGAAACGACTCGGCAAACCGTTTCGAAAAACTGACCAACACGAGTACTTTTAGAGTTTCACCCAATGGCTTTGAATATTTTGAAATCGGTACATATACATGCACTCTAGCCAGAATTGGTTTCAAACGGTTCAGAATGACTTTAAAAGTCGAGAAAATTAACAATTCGGATTTTCTCGTGAAAATATAGGCTACTCATTCGGGAAGTTTATGAATAGTAGAATTTTATTAGAGGAAAAAGACCAACTTTATTATGAAGAAAATATAAAACAAATAGTCAGTATGTGCGTCACTTAGTTATGGAATTTATTAAAGCTCTCTCAGGTTGTTGGGTTCTAATTTAACCCTTATAGCTTTCGACTGTATTAAACACAGATTTGTTGGTATAATTTATGTATTTGTTGCAGTTCTAATTACACTATTTATTTGTCACTAAGTTCTAATTGAAGAACATATATTTATTGATGATTTATTACACACGTTGTTACACGAACTTTAGTTTTAGAAGTGAGAAAAAACGTTCGATTCAAATCCGCTACCCCCTCTACAGAGTAGCAACCATCCGGTGTAAAAGCTCAATGCCATGAAGATTGCCGCCTTAATGGCCAATATAATATAATGAAAATATACGTCCGAACATGGTAAAAATCAGAATAAATTATAATACAAAATTATGTATTATTTTCATAATACACTTTTCGAAGTTAATATATTAATTAGAGATTTTAGGGCTCATTAATACTTACTGATTTCATAAGATTCCTTATTTCAATATTATTAGCAAGAATCTATGTACTCTAGAACAACTTAACTGTTCAATAATCTTAACGATGGAAACTTTCATTCTCACAACTTATTTCTGCACTACGTTTCACGTTCATTATAAATATTAGAGTATGTAACATTAAGAAAGCTGAAAAGTTTGCAGTTAATAACATCAAATATTGAACTTAATCAATTCGATGTTTTCAAAAGACTCATATTAATTTCTCGTCAAATTTAGCTTTTATAAAGTTTAATTCTATTTCTCTACTTTATGAGTTTTAATATTTGATATTGCGCCGGCTCTAGTAACTTTTGTGAAATGGCAGAATTTATATAAGATTTAATGTATGACTTTTCAAAGCTTTGCATTATATTTATTTTTCTCACTTATATATGGGAAGTGCACTAAGTGCGCATTTCTATTATCAATGGCACGTGAAAAATTACTAGTAATAGTAAACATAAACTAGTTGGAATTGGTTTATTGACGGCAAGTTACATACACTTCCCGATAAATAATCGACTTAATCAATAAAAAATAAATTAATTTATGAGTAATCAAAAGTGTTCCGAGTGGATTTATTGCACATAATTGAAAACGAACGAACACGTTAACTCGGAGTATTTTCTCAAAGAAAATTTTCAAAAATCAACAATTTTAATAATTGAACTAGGACTTTAATGGTTTTAGTATGTTCATTAAGATCTCATTAAGGTACTCTATCGTTATACCAAGTATATCGTCTAATTTTAATTTAAACAAACGTCAAAAAAACTACTCATTTTCTCCAATTTTGATGAATTTTTAAAATTAAACTACTTGTCGTAAGGCCGTAATATTTCAATAAGTTCTATAAGACCATGATATATATTGCGAAAAAAAAGTTCCATAAAAGTCGGCCTAATTTTTTTTTAACTGTTAATTACAAGAAAACGGTTCGGTAGATTTTCACCTAAAACTAATCAGTATCATTCCCAACTAATATCTTTCGAACAGTATTTGATTTTTTAAAATCGATTCGGTCATATGAGCTTAAATGTGGACGAAAAGTTTAACACTTTTTTCCAAATTACAAAGAAACGGCTCGGCCCAAAATTGCTGCACAAAACTGAGAAAAGATAATCCACATCAAAATACATCGATTGGCTTTTAATGTTTTGAAATCGGTTCAGACGTTTTTGAGCAAACGTCGATGAAAGGTCTAATTTTGACAAACGCGAAAAAAAAACTATACCAATTTTTGCAAACTTTGACGAATTTTTAAAGTTAAACGAGTTATCGTAGGGCCTAATATTTTAGTATGATCTATAAAACTATGGTATCTGCCGTCAAAAAAAATATTAATAAAAATCGTCGAATTTTTTTTTAACACTTCATTACAAGAAAACGGCTCGGACGATCTTTACCAAAAACTAATCAGCACGATTCCCAACCAATATCGTGGACGAAAAATTGTTCACCTTTCTGCTAAATATGAAGGAACGACTTGGCCGGCCGATCGTCGCACAAAATTGACAAACAATAGTCCTCATCGAAATACATCGAATGGCTTTTGAATTTTTGAAATCGGTCCAGCCGTTTTTGAGAAAACGTTGATTTACGGCAAAAAATCTGTTCACACACACATACACACACATACTTTTTCCAAATTTGGTCTCATTCGATTCAGAATGGTTTGAAACGTCGAGAAAACCTAAAATTAGCGAATCAGATTTTTGATGAATACATGTTTTGAAAAAATTAAAACTGTGCTTCTAATGAACTACAAATTACAAAAAAAGACTAGAATTCTCAATGCTTTAACTCAAAGTGGTAAGACAAATACAACATGTCTTCCCTGGATGACATCCGTAGCGAAAAAGTTAATTTGCTCAGATATTTTACTAGTTTGCAGGCTGTCAAGTAAAAAAAGATCCATCCAAAATGTCATGAATACAAGCAATGACTTGATAGGCTTTATTACATTTTGCTATACATCATATACCTAAATTGGAGTTAAATATCAAAAGTAGAATACTTTTACTTTATATTTCAGGTTTTCAAACGCGCCAACCCATTAAATTTATGGCGCCAATATGGATTTTTTGAAGATTCTTATTTGGACAACATCAATCAGCACTGGCTAAGTTTTCCTCCAGCAGGAAAATTGCAGCACCGGATTTTGGCAATTATATACGCTGTGATTATGGTTATAGGACTCATAGGAAATTCGCTGGAACTACTTCTTTTTGTAAGGTAAGAATTTATAAGACTAATAGCTTCCTCATTTGCTTGAATTTTCCAAGAAATTATCTATTTTTGCCCAAGAACTTGGGCATGTGGGATGAGTACGTTTCCCGATTATTTCTTACTAGTGTAGTAAATCAAAAGGAAAAAAGGGTGTAACCTCTGAATTTTTTTACTGTGCTCCGTTTTGCATGAAGTTTTGGAATTAGGTTCATCTTACCCTCAAGTTCAAAAGTGAAAACATTTTGGACTCCCCCGCAACCACCCAAGTATTTTTTAATACATTTACCTTGCAATAAAATTATTTTCTCCCCGTGAAAACCCTAAAACCCTTCAAACAACCTCTAAATTGAAAAAAACACTTCAAAATAAATTTCGGTATGATATAATAATTACGTATGAAGTAAATAATATTTTATGTTCTCTATCTTAATCGTCAAATTTTTAACCTTTTTTAAACCCTTAAAAACAACCCCTTGATCTGATTCCAACCTAATTCCAAAATTTCATGCAAATTGGAGCACAGTAAAAAGTTCAGACCGAAAACGCTCTATTGACTGGAGTATATGAAATATTTCAACCAATGAGTTCAGATACATATAGTTTTTTGTTTTCGAGTTTCGGTACTCAATTTGCTAACACTATATTATAAAGTTATATCAGATCTCGAGTTCGATTCCGTTTTGGACAATCTGATATCATGCAGTGCAATTCATATTTACTTCAAAACGTAGATCCAAATAAATATCAAAGTAAAAAGAGCCTATTACAACATTTCTGTAATAAAGATGAAGTACATCATTACCAATATAGAAAGTATAACTATTGGGTTGCATTCGAGCAGAAAGGGTTAATGTAAAATATATCAAATAACATAGGATATTGAAAAATCTATGTGATAAAGTATTATAGCAGTAGCTTATAAAACTATTCAATCGCTTTGCTTTTATCTTTTAACTGATTTTATCTTTTAATTTTAAACAATAAATATCTAAAGTCATATATCTACATTTTAGGACGTTGGGGATTAGTGCGGATTTAGAATTATTTAATACTCTTTTTTGGTGGTATTCTGGTATAGGAGTTCGAAAAATGTTTCTTTTTTAAAAATAATGTATATGAGAGGATTTTTAAAAGTTTAAATTATTTTTTGATATACATTTATTTGATCATGATTATCCTCTTTTGTTTCCTTTCTTCTCCAAAACATTGAACGCGTTTTTCTCAAAATTTTCTTTTTCCATACTATGCCCAATACTTCACCACTTCTAATTCACCGATTTACTTGAAATATTTAGAGAGTTTTCTCTATAAACTCCTCCTGGTATGTACTAAACTCATCCCCAAACTTCAATGTTTACTATTTTCGAAAATTCGAGAAACTAAAGAAGCGGTAACAACGTAAAAAAAAATTATCTTGCTCGTAGTATATACCATAGCGACAACATTGTAGATTAGTAATCTCTTTTTCTTTTTAATTCAGATTACTATCACTAACTGCTAAAATTGTTCACTTTTTTTCTGTACTCTTGAAACATAGATAAATAAATTATAAAAAAAATAATAGTGCCAAACTGGATTGCCTTTTTACGATTATTTAAAAATGACCTTAAATTCATGTTTCTGAACTAGAATACTCCCTTGATATTGTTTTAGAACTTAGAATTAGAACTTAAGATTTAATTCGACATGTCTTTTTAGAAGGCAATCCAATGCTTCATGTATCTCTATTTGATGTGTTTCACTATTAGAATTTCACTATTAGTAAGGGATATTTTTATTTGGAAGCATATTGTCATATGTATTTTTAAGTAAAACTTATGTTATATAACTCTCTATTGAATGACATCCAAGGCGGTTATCGAACCTGCTACCTTCTGGTAAGGAAGCCAAAGCTCCAACCAAAAAGATTTGCAAAAGTCTCATATAAAGATTTAAGACCAATCATATTAATGTGCACTTCGGTGAAAAAATAATGATATGAATTCGTTTTGAAAGTACCTACATGACAATATTTTGTAATATTGAGAGAAAATTGATCAATTCGTGGAAGAGAAGGCAGATACTGTGAATTTGTTATTTCGAGCAATGCACATTTGTGCCACACATGCTTTTCTTGATTCATATAAGATTTCCTTCGAGCAATCGGACTGGAAATATGAACGTGAACAGAATGCGGTTGCCTCAATGATGTCTACTGGACCTTGAAAAAATCCACATTGATAAAGAAAATCTGTTGATATTACAACAAATTCACTAAGTTTTTACAAATTCACTAACAAAAAGTTAATATGATTATTTATTGTGATAATAAGATACCCAATCTTTATAAAATGATTAATGTTGTCATTAAATGAGACTTATTCCGATTTAAAGAAGTTTCTACAAGACATATTTCAGTAAAGAATTAATTGTTTTTTTTTTTTATATGTGATTCCAAATAAAATAGTCTTCAGTTCTATTTAATGTCAGGTTGCCCGAAGAACAATTGGCTACGGTGTAGAAACAGTATGCAATATATCAATGTCTACATTTATTAAGAGATGTTACACGAATTCACAGTGAAGCTATATTTATATATATATATATATATATATATATATATATTAATGGAGCTCTCGATCAAGTCATTCGGTAAAACGCGAAAACGACTAAACCGATTTGGCCAGTCTTAGTCTTGAAAAATTCGTGCCAGTCCAGAGATGGTCGGAAAGGTGAGCTAATATTTCAAAATTGCGTAGAAACTTTACATTTTTAATTTGAATTTTTTTTGTAGAAGCTTAATTTGAATAAAACAATGGACGGTGGCTAATACGTGAAATGTCAAACGCTTTTGACAGATGATGTTCAATTACGTTTAATAGGATGTTTTACGTGAATATGATTTAATTATGATTAAATTGTAGTAAGTAGTTTTGTTTGTAGTTTTAATCATACACAAAAACAAGAACGTTATTAAACGGGCCGCAAGTGTTACTAGAAACTCAAAATATCAACTTTTTTGAAATGTTAATATGAAAATGCACTTTGTGGCGTTGTAGCACTCTTTTTTATGTTAATTCAGATTTGTTAATTGAATGTTATTTGAATTTATGTTAATTGAATTCAGAACCTAAATTTGGTATCGAATAAAGGGACATTTTGTCAAGTAACCTCTTCTCAGTTATAATTTCTCAGAATTTATCGAACAATAGATAGTAATATATGAAAGTCCGGGGTTAAAAAGGTCCATCGCCGATGTGTCAAAAACCAGTAAAGTTAAGCATTGTTTACCAACAATATTTGAAAGTAGAGTGAAAAAGATGTATTATGTTGTCAAATATCTCCCTTCCGCCTTATTGTATTATAAACCAATAGCAAAAAAACGGAAGGGAGATATTTGACAACCTAATATAACCAGCTATAACCTTGATTCCCATGACCTTGACTCTTGATTGGCTATCGCGAGATAAACGGTAATCTTTGAAAATTCATAATAAAATTTTTTCCGTTGGTAGTTTTTCAGCATTAGTTAAAAATGTAATTATTTTGTAAAATACCTTTAAAATTAAAATAAGACATTAAACCTGTTTGCCACCTGGCCGTTCCAAGTTACTCCGCCTATAGGGTCAAGAGGTCTAAGAAAACAAATTTTTAAAAGACAGCAAAAAAGCACATTTCTACAATGATGAAGTAACTGGCAGTTTTACTCAACGTAGTCAGATAATTGTTCGGTTGAAATGTGTTATTTGTTGTGATATAATTGGTTTGATTTTTATAATATGATTAATATTTGCTCAAAGTCAAACTGGACCTTTGTGCCTCGCCCTGCTCTACATATATACTTTTTATAAAATTTACTTTAATTCATCGAATGTTACTTGAAACTTTTTAAAAAGCAGCTCAAACAAGAAATACTTAATTCATTTCCTATCTCTCCACGCAGAAACTTGATAATTTTGTATAAGCAGTAGTATTTATTTACAATTATACACAGAATCCAAGAAGAATTTGAAAAACTTGAAACGTAATCGAGACTTGGATTGGATTATACAAGGTTTTTTATAGAAAGTGTATAAAACTTCCAGACAAAATATATACAAACTAATGGGACTTATTGCTTTTATAATACTTCATTAGATATATAGCATTCAAACAACACATCCTTATACACATAAAGTATTAATATTTTTGATTCTCTAGAAAATGTTTAGAATAAACCTTGCTTAGCAAAACAACGTTTGCCGGGTCAGCTAGTATATATATATATATATATATACATATATATATATATATTATTCGTATTAAAGAATCCCTTTAAGTGATACAAAAGCACTTAATTACACATGATTTTTATGTATGAAGTTTTTTGATCTATTTCTCTACGCGAATAAAATTATAATCATAATCATCTTTACTTTAATTAATTATCACTTACCTTTTTTGGCAAACTGATGATTTATTAAAGCATATATAGCTGATGATGACTTAACATTTTCTAAAGTTTCTGACCCTCTAGAAAATTTTGTAGGGTTTTATTAATTTGTGCTGATGCTTGTTGGAGGCCCTCATGGACCCGTATATTTGAATAACTAATTCAACAAAAACTTTTTTCTATTTATCAAACTTTCTTACAATTTGCTTATTTGCTCTGCGTATCTCTTAATCTGTATTTTCTTGTATTTATTTATTTTCTATTTATTTTTTTAGGTGTTTGTAAACTTTTTTTTTTTAATTTCTGAAATGATCCGCAACGTTGAAACTGGTATGTGAAGATTAGCAACAAACTGAATTTGGTTTGTCTTGTTTCAAAATTAAAAATTATGACAGCCAACTTGCTATAATTTTGTATAGCTTTAATTAATATTAATGTGAATATATTATGTGGGTTTCATCATTAATCATTTTTGCCACGTTTATTGCATTTAATTTCAAGTTTTATAACTTAGGGGGCGTCCATTAATCACGTGAGCTAGTTTTTAAGGATTTTTAGACCCCCCCTCCCCCTTGGTGATACGTGGTGATATTCA